CATGAGAAACTTACTGCTTCCGAGTTTCTAGATAATGGTTGAAAAGGGCACCCCACTCGGGTCGGCCCCTGGCACCATATCCCGGAGAGTCGACGACGACCAAGCGACCAGGGGGAGATCCAACACGGAAAAAGTTGAGTGTTTGTGTTCGGCCCTGCGCAAAACCAGCATATAGTGGCATACAGCGCTAAGTCCATAACGACTCACAGCTTTTTTGCTGGTGAAAAGAAGATCTCTACGCCCAATCACAGCATTAAGCAAGGATGATTTTCCAACATTTGCTCGACCTGTTACAACTACCTTCACAAGCCTGCACCATGTGGAGTGCTCGATATAGAAATGACTCACCTCAGGAAGCCCACCTAGCAAAGAAAGAGATTCTTTCACCAACAGCAGCAAGAAATTCTGCGGACTTCGCATCCTTGAAAATAACATTGGCTCTGGACGATATACACCTCGAACTGCCACTGCCACCTGCCCGTAACGTAGGAAGTACGTGAAATGCTCTTGAAATCGCAGCTACATTAGGAGTGGATGCCAGCATGGAGCCTGCAACGTCCCAACTTCATGAAGAAAGAAAAATGACCACTGAATGTTGTTGTGGTTTGTTGAAATCACAAGGCTCTGACAAATATACGCAAATGCCATCAACGGCGGAATTATGGTACATACCTTTTTGAAGTTCCACATCTGGTATAAATCGTCATGGATCCACTCGCCGGAATGGACGATTCTACAACTGATGATGATAATGCTTCTCAAACAACTGAGGACGACCCTCAGGTACCAGACAATCATCCTCCTGCACCACAACCTCCCCAGCCAGCACCGCAGCCAGTCCCTCAAGCGCCTCCGCCAGCAACATCAGGCAGAGAAAGGCCAAATTATGAACTTCGTCACACACTGAGGGGACACACGCAATCTATATCTGCCGTCAAATTCAGTCCTGATGGAACGCTACTTGCATCTTGCGGTTCGTATGCAGCTCACTAGGACTGGTTGTGTTTGAATTAGTTCTTGTTTGTGTAGCTGCAGATAATCTGGTAAAAATATGGTCTCCATTCACAGGGGATTTAATCAGAAATTGAGTGGCCATACCAAAGGACTATCAGATATCGCGTGGTCAACGGACGGTGTATATCTCGCATCAGCGTCTGATGACACCAGTGTACGGATATGGAACGTTGATTCTGTAAGTCATCAATGGCGGAATTATCCTCCGGTCGACTCATACCGCAAGTCAGGGGTTAACAACGAAACATCTCAAAGGGCACTCGAGTTTCGTGTTTTGTGTAAATTACAACACTGCATCCAACCTCCTTGTTTCTGGAGGTTGTGATGGTGATGTTCGAATATGGAATGTCACAAGAGGTGCGCAAAGGTTGCTTGCATTCAGCTGTCCAGTCTCTCACATCAAGCCAAGGAAAATGCATGAAGACTTTGCATGCGCATCTTGACTATGTTACTGCCGTACACTTCAACAGAGACGCCACCCTGATTGTCTCGTGTGCTCTTGATGGGCTAATGTGAGTCCAAATTATTACTTCTTTACCTGTCTGACGCAACTACAGCCGGATATGGAACACCACGACGGGTCAATGTTTGAAAACCCTCGCTGAAGGACACGATGCTGTATGGTATGTCCATCAGCTGCCACTGCTCATCTGGTTCTCTAATCTCTTATGGATCTTCAGCCAACACGTACAGTTCTCACCCAACTCCAAGTACATTCTCTCAACTGCTCATGACAGTGCAATCAGATTATGGGACTATCACACGTCGCGCTGCTTGAAAACATACACAGGTCATCGCAATGAGAAGTTCTGTATAGCGGCCTGTTTCAGTGTTACTGGGGGGAAATGGATTGTTTCTGGGAGCGAAGACCAAAGGTTTATATATGGGATCTTCAAAGCCGTGAGGTAGTGCAGATTCTTGAAGGACATGAAGGTAAGGATCATATCTCCTTGCCGGGTTTGACAACTTAATTGGGTGTCCAGGTGTTGTTGTCGCTGTGGCTACTCACCCACAGCAAAACATGATTGCGTCTGGCTCCATCGAGCCAGACCTTACAGTTCGCATATGGTCTGATCGTGGGTCGACATGCTGATCGACCGTGACAGATGTGCATTGTGTGCTGGTACTGCATACCTAGTCCTAGTATCGGTTATTTGTCTTGTACACTATCCTACACTTGATATATAACTCGCAAATGCATGAAAAGCTGAACAATAGCATAAACGTGAGAGTTTTAACACGAAACACCCGTTTACTTGACAGGTTCAGCATGAAGAAGATCTGAGTTTGATTGAACATGATCAGAGGTTATGCATGCAGACGAAAACTGATATCTTACCCTTTGCAACCTCCTTGTCCGCTTCAGTAAGCCCTGAATCATGCGCCTCCAAAAAGGCATCCACCTACGGCATTGAGCATCATCGAATATACTTGCATGAAGAAAACCACTCACCTCGTCCAAAACTTGATCATCATCTTCACCATGGACCATGTCTAAATCACTATCGTCGTCATCATCACCTGCGTCGTCGATGGCAAACGGCGTGCGCTCCATGAATGCCGCATTGACCGCTTTGAAGTGGGGCATCGGAGAAAACACTGATGCGGACGACGGACCACTGTCGTGGATAGATGACGCGTCGAGAGTTGAAGACGAGCTTGATACTAAAACAGTATCCAAAGAACTTCCCGAGGTGGTCTTGGTCGGTGGAGAAATGAGCGACTCCCGGGCCGTCGGTTCTTCGAGTTTTGTGAATCGTCCGATTGTAGGACGATAGATAACCTGCAAGCAAAATGTTAACTTTGTCGAGTGATAATTATACTAACTGTCATACCTGATGCTTGCCTATGGTCTTACCAAGCTCGTCGCTCAGTCTGTTGAACATTTTCTTGTTGTCCTGGGTAGCGATGTTAGACCACAGGTCACCCAAGAAGCCGCTTGATGCCGGAGGTAACTCAAGGTCAGGAACGGGCTCCAGCCTGAATGAGGCAGAAAGATCGGTTTCGAAGAACGACTCCAAGACCTCGTCAGCCAGAACGACCATCCGGAACCTATAGGAAACGTAAGATTGATTCTGTGGGGTCATACGGGGTAACACACGTAGCAAGGTTGAGGTATGGCTGGTTGTGCCCAATGGTTTGAGGTCCTGTTGCTCCGGTCTTGCTATCGGTATGCTGTGGCAGAAGACTATCACCATACTCGAAAGCGTTGGTCATAAATTTGCTGACGGCTCCTAGGTAGGCGTCGCCGATCTCATGACGGAAAATGAACTATGGCTAGTCAGTCACGAACGTCAGAAAAAGTGGATAGACTGACAAGAAACGACTCGGAGAGAGTCAGGACTTCATCCTTGGTTAAATACCCATCTTTATTATTGTCGTGCAGATTAAAGAACCATTCAATGTTCTCCATCAAATCATTGAGCATTACACCATCTAGACCAGACACGAGATCCTGGGGGTATTCGTGAGCATTAATTTTTTGTTCGTTCATCAAGAAGCATGCCTGGAACGACAAAGAGCCGTTGCACGAGGTGTCCCAAAAATAAAAGAGACGGTCGATGAGCTCGTGTTCTGCAACCTCGCGGTCGATGCGTTGCTTTATTCGCGTCAAGGTCAGTAATCAAGACATAAAGATTATAGAAATACCTGGAAAACCATTGATCACAATCTTCTCGCTCCGTGCCCAGGTCAAGATTTCACTGAGAAAAACTTGGAAAGTCGGTATACCAAATCCTAGTCTCTGCTCGTTCTTGGTTCCCATCATTCGTGGTCAAGAGCGATGGCGGTGGAGCAACAGCCGGTGGTGGCGGAACCTCACACATGGCCTTGTACAAAGCATCGTATATGAACCCAGCTTGCTCCTTGGTAAATCTTCCGAGCGTCTTCAAGTTTCTGATCGCCGAGCGCTTAGAGAAGGATTCGATGCTGTTGACGATTTCGTTTCTGTACTTTCTACGTTCGGAGAGAATTGTCTCGTCGGAAATCACAGCGAACTCCCGGAACGAGACGAGAAGTAGCTCTTGGAAGCGTGTTATCGCCCTTGTCCGAGGATCTGCGGACTCTGGATGAGCAGAGTCACCAAGCGAGGCGAAGTATTCGCGCATCAAGCTAATCATAGTGAGTATAAGCCGTCAAGGGTTGGAATTAACCCACCTTAAGAATCCCCCATCATCTTGAATTTGCAATAACTTTTCACCATTAATCTTGAGAATGGCTTTACTCTACAAGTCAGGCGGATATATTGAATTATAAGCGAGGTGCACTGACCCAGTCTGACAAGACTTTGAGTCATGCAAAAGGTCGGAATGACAAGAAAAGACTCACCCTACTTGGAAAAGCACCTTCGGACCCATGCAGAAGAAGCAGTCCGCAATGCGAAAGGCAAAAACCATAGGCATACTATTTATGTACCTGGGAAGAGCGAGTCATGTCCGACGTAGAGCACAGATTGTCATGAACACTGACAAACTCAAGAACCATGGCAAAGACGCAACCGAGAGCTGTACATCTACCGCCTGGAAGTGATCGCTTATCATTGGCAAGCACCGTGTCACAAGAGACTCGAAAACTCGTTGATCTAGAAGTGTTCCATGCATGGTTGGGCTAGGTGCGTTTAGTGGCAGCAACAGCATATTGGTAGGCAGGACATACCTGTAGTAGCCAGGCAGAAGTCTATCGCACAGAACTTCGAGAAGCCAGAAGGTTTGCTCTTCTGACATGTAACTTCACCAACATGAGATAAGCATTCCGTGAAAGCGAAACACTTACATTAGAATCGCAGCTGCCAGTATATTCATCGCCTAGACACGAATCAGAATCAATGAATGGCAAAACACGAGAAAAACGTACCTGACAATAGCCAACTTCTGGGTTCCTGTGCGAGTAGGCTTGTAGTACTCTCCGAAGAGCGCTGATGCCCTCGTCAGCTTGGTAGCCTGCATATTCCGGAAGACTCCTGTGCAAGTCCTTCTCGATATCCTCAAAACTTGTACTATTCGTCCCTTGAATATCCAACAGTAATTGATCGTATACTCCAGGATTGGAGTAACGAAGATATATAGATCCGGACAATGTCTCCCACATCTCACCACGAAGACGATTAGGGAGGCCGACCTGAACTAGTCGAGTACACTGTGGGTATCTTAGTAATGTAAGATTGCGGCCGTGATCTACATCATGGTCAATCATTTCATATGCAACACAACTATAAGGCGTACTCTTTAAATATGTCGTCCATAGCTTGATTTTTGAAGCCTCGCGCAACCTGAAACGCGTTAGTGCAAGGCATGAAGCACGCATGAAAAGATCAACTTTTTTGGGTCACCAGGGAATTTAAACTGCAGTCCTAGACCACCATGGAATTCCGTTTCTGGAGACGGACATCCTTCTTTTGTCTCCGTAATAAGACTTCCATCCTCCCGCTCGTTGTCTGAGACACCCGATAGCGACACAAGCCCTTCAGAGTAACAAGTCTTCACAAAGCC